TGTCATTTTCCTGATCTATAAAAAATGCCTGTGTAGTGTTTTAATTTATACCAACTGAATGTTCTGAATAGTAATCCGGGTTCCAAATTTGATGATCTGAGCTTTATCAGTAGATATCTTAGTCTAGTCTAAGGTAACCTGTTCAGCTGTGGCTCATTACTCTAGGCACTCGAGCTTTGGCCGATGGGTCAATGGTTCGAAACCCACTCTACCTGATGACGTCCAGGTAGCAAGTTAATATCATTACTTATTGTGGCAACATGCTAACTGCATGGAATTACAAGTGGTTTTCGTTAATATTACGTTTATTTTTTTTCACTTCTGACGTCTAACTGATGGTTAGACATGAAATTCTGTCTCTTAGCGATTCGATATATATATATATATATGTATATATACACCATAAATAATAATTTTTTTTGATAACTAACTGTCTACGCCATGTCTAGTGTGTGAAATGAAAAAGTCTCTAAAATGTTTCTCATAGAAACTCACTTTTTCTTAAAACACAATAAGTAGACGTAAATAAAAAGTGAAACGGATGTATATAAACAATAGTTGATATATATATTTATATATAAGCATTTAAATATTAGTGTATTAACTGAAGTATGAATATCTGTGAGTCGGTAGTTACGTGGTAGAATGTTCACCAACCATGCATCCCGCCCAGGTTTCGATTCCTGGCCGACATATCTTTAAACCTCGCCTACTTTACTAGCAACTTGTAGGGCATTAAGCCTAGAAAAGAGGGGAGGTTGAGTGTGTACTCAGAGACCTCACCCTGGAAGAAATTAAAATAACACCGCCACTACTGAAACCTCAAAATTATTGAAGTCCTATATTCTATGCAGATAAGACACAACTTTTCACTTGGTTGGATTCTGTTGCTAGCTATCGTCAGTAAAATTGCGTCTAGTATCGCTGCAAAGAGTCAATATTTCAACAGAGACTGAGTATTTCGGTATCCAGTAACATAAATTATTGAGAAATTCAAAATAATTCCAATCAGTAAGGTTCATTTACTATTCATGACTGAAAACACAAGTTAGAATTAATGAGCCGTTGTTCATTTCCCAAATAAAATAGAATTTACAATTTAAAAAACAGGTAGCTACAAAAAGTCTCATAAACCAGATTTATTTGGATACGTCGGTGGTTTAATGGTGGTCACTCCCCGGCCGCCACGTGGGAGATTTGAGTCCCCGAAACCAACGTACACCTAAACCTCACCCAAGTGATAGTAAGCCCTTGGAAGAGGGCATATTGGACGTCACGTCCCGTTGAGTTCCATCATTTCTGAGAATTGGTTTGTTCGTTTCCTGAGTTCTTTACTGCTTATCCATTCCGGCTGACCAGATGTCTGATCTTCAGCATCGATCAAGATTGATAAAGGCTTGCAGCCTGGTTTATTAGCTGAAGACGTGGCCTTGACAAATCATGCTGCTAATCTACACCATAAGACAGTCAACTGTAAATGTAAATGTTTCTTCAGTTAAAACGTTTGAACAAAAGCATTTTAAACCTTTCATATAAAAAAAAATAATAATAATTAATGCATTAGGCAGAAATCGCTTTTCAACCCTTTTTTCCGGGAAAAGTTAAATGCACCGTGAAAATGATGTCTGCACACATACGCATGTATATGTAATGTAAAGTGAAGTAATGCTACGGTTCTCTCTACACGCAATCTACGCAAATTAGCCATGATAATATATAGGTAGATGCATAATCAAAGGAAGAAGGAATATATATCTCCGTTTTAGATAGTTAAGATTACCCATGAATATATATATATATATATATTTACCCTTAGGCTGATAAAAATATTAAACCAAAGCCGTTTTTAATCTCATTTGCTAACTCCGTACGCACACACACAAACAAAAGACATCCTCTCTTTTTTACGAAATATGATGGGTGAAAGGTCAAAATAACTGGTAAACAGAATAGGCAATAAATAAACTAGACAATAAGACTTTATGTTTTTCTGTTATCATCCAGTGTATATAACCTGATCACAAAAATTCTCTGTGTGCCTCACCCACACATGAACCATAACCCAGTCTGTATGAGACGATATAATCGATGACGTAATCATTTGTTTGCTGTTTATTATTACATGCAATCCCATGTCATATATTCTATGCATTAAGTAAACGGAAAGTTTTTCGTGTTTTTTTGGTTTTGTGTGTGTGTGCATGTAAAATTTTATGTTTTAGATAAGTTGAGAAAAAATGAAGGACCACGTGTTGTGAATATTACTCAGCCTAGTTTAGCTTAATTTAACTATAAGCTTACAAGAACAACTATAAACACCCTCCCACCTACAGAGATGAACATCTGCCGCACCTGTTTTTAGTTGTTAAATCAAGCGATGAATTTAACTTCATTCAACTTCACCTTTCAATTCATTTTTCATTTTTTTTTCTGGGTTGATCTGAGGGTAAGAACAAAACATGAATTACGTCATCAGACCAGCGGGAAATAAATTTTGAATAAAGTCGTAAAAAAATTATCATGGTTGTGTTGTTTAGGGCATGTCAAAAAACTGCTTACAATAAAATGATTAAAACAAATGATAATTGTTGGTCAATCGCATGTTATAATCAGACTGAATATTGATATTTTCCCTTCTACAGTGTGTACTCTGTGACAATCATGAACGTTCATTTTATCCAGTTTTCGTGACTTGGTAGCTAGATGTACGTGTATGCCAATGCCAAAGCATTAACCACTAGACCACACTAGGTCACGAGACCTATTCTGGTCGTGCAACACGTATTATTTGGGATTACTCGTTGATTAACTTACATTGGACCTGTATGCTAAGTCTTTGTTGACCTTGAGAAGTTATTTAACCCCGTCATTTGTTTCCAAAGTTGAATTTAATAATGTCACGGAGACTGGTCATCAAATTTACTTTGTTCGGATATTGCTAAACTTAGAAACTGATAATTTCTAGGTATAGTGGTGTAGTTGAAGATTTCATATGTAAGAAAATCAATTAACGCAACATTTCAGCGAAAACATACACAGCCTTAGTTTATTTTATCTTATTATGTAACAGTACTGGTTTTTAAATTTTTGTTTTGAAAAGTACCAACTTAGGATGATTTATGTTTGATGTCACACAAAATCGAAGACTTACAAGCGAAAACCGACAAACTGGTCGAAGAAGCTGGCGGCGAAGACAGGACTCCAGGTGAACATAGACAAGACGGAGGTTATGAAAATAACCAACCAAAAATAACAACAACAACAGCAGCAACATCCAACGCCAATCACCATCAACGGGAGGGATTTGAAAGAGGTTACTTCATTCACTTATCCAGCTAGGGAGCATTGTCTCAACCACAGGAGGAACGGACGAGGATGTCAAATCGAGAATCGGGAAGGCGAGAAACACATTCATCAACCTGAAACCAATCTGGAAATCTTCCAATGTCACTCAGCATCAACAACAAAATTTGGATTTTCAATACAAACGTCAATTCAGTTTTGCTCTACGGATCAGAAACTTAGCGGGTCACAAAGAATATTTCCAACAGCCTGTTGCAGACCTTTATCAACAGCTGTCTTCGCTCTATACTGAAGATCAGATGGCCGGGAGGAATCACCAACAAGAAACTATGGGAACAAACAAAACAAGAACCAATCGCCCAACAAATATGCAGGAGAAAGTGGAGATGGATTGGACACTCGCTGAGGAGGGCCGCTGGGTGACATCGCGCGTCAGGCCATCGCTCGAGTGGAACCCGAAAGGGAAGCGGCGAGTGGGACGTCCAAGGGTGACATGGAGGAGATCGTGTGAAGAGGAGTTGAAACAGTATGGACTAACATGGATGCAAGTGAAAAGTACAGCAGAAGACAGAAGCAAGTGGAGACGTGCAGTTGAAGCCCTATGTTCCACTAGGAACCCAAGGGAACAATAATAATAGTAGTTTAATAGACTCTCATTATGAAGCAATATATTTTCCCTCCTTCCCCTGCCTTCCTAGCGGAACATAGGGCTTCAAACTTTGAAGTTTCAGTGTCGATTGTGTTTCCTTTTACAAGATGGGATTGTTAGCCTCACTCTCAGACTCTCCTCTTTATCGAACTTACTACCAGATAGGCAAAGCTCAGGAGTGTGGCGGCTGGGAATCGAAAGCAGACATCTCACATGGCCGGCGAGCATCTAACTGAGGGAACAGATTAAATTTTTTCCTCAGTGTATATGATGATGTATTTTGTAAACGTTCGTCTACATATATTAGGTTAAAATGTTTATATATAGCCATCTGTAGATGAGCACTGTACTAATTGTCACACGATATCCACGTCGACATTTGCTTGTGTATATCGCGTTTGTGTATATTTTAAAAGAATTCCAGTGTAATTCCGTCAACAAACAAGATCATTCAGAAAACTAGTGATAACCATGGGGCACTGGGTATCTGTTTCATCCTAGTTTAGAAGTCTATAGTAGTGTACAACCATGATCTAACCAGGTTCTGCTTTCAGTGGATCATGGTGGTACTACACCTTGAATTCAAGGTCCATCAAATATGGGTAGTTTGATACCACTCATATATCAATCAGTAATGCTTGTTGATCAGCCTAGTTAAAGTTATCTGAACATTGGCAGACTGTTTCGCACGTTTCGGGCCACACTCACCAGTGGTGTGTGGCTGGCTTAACTGAGTTCAGAGGGCCGAATCAGTTCAAGCCATCCGGATTCTGACTGCCTAGATATTTGAATAAATTGGCAAAGCTTGCCTTTTTGACTACCAACAAATTACAAGTTTAGGAGACAAAAATATAACTAACTTCTATCAGGATATCATGAAACAATAAGAAAAAGAGTAGACAATGATGGAACCCCTAATCCATTTTGGGATCATATGCCCACCTTCTAGATCACGTGGAAAACAGCGAGTCATAATATATGCTTTCTTTCTGTCCTAATAACTAACGAGCGTTTTATTTTTTTTTGTTGTCCTCATTTTACGTAACAGTACCGAAGAGTTATTTCTAGAAGAATTCCCATCTGCACAAAGTTCTTATCGTGAAGAACCGATTGTGAACAACAACAACAACAGGATGCGCCAGTCAGTATTTGATACTTCTCCTACTAATTTCTCGAAGCTGGACAATATACATAGTTCAGCGATTGCAAATACAGAGCATATAAACAATCGAAAATCAACAGAGACAGATTATGTGAATGAAAATGGAAATATTACAAATCAGATTATTCCTTGCTGTCAGATAGAATTGGGACAACCAATGACTTCACCCCTTCCTAATACAACTATTTCTAATCACTTAGAAGAACAGACTTCCTTAGAGATTAGTTCCGAAACACAAAGAGCTATGGAATCCTCTAACAGTACACCGCCGTCTACTGAGAATGTTGACTCTCATTGTCAGGAGAAGGCGCAATTACTGCTCTCATCATCATCATCTCCAACAACACATCATGCATCAATGAATGATTCTCTGACAACATCAGACTGGATAAAACATAAGCAATTGAACAATGAACAGAGTGAACAGTCAAATTATCAGATAGATGAACAACAGAATTCTTCGACTTTTGCAAAAACATCAAATGAACATGTATTTTTAGACTATACAGATGAAAATTCAACTGTTCTACAGTCTCCAAATGACTTTACAGACGATCAAACAGGTGAGTAAAGTATTTTTTTGTGTGAGACCGCGAACCAACATTAGTTGGAGGGTGGGCACTGAAAACTACCACCAGGGAGTGCTGGACAACTGTTTCCTCTTAGTTTCGGATCCTTCAACATGACCCACCTATGACTCCACATCTGAGGATAGAACTCAGCACCTCCAGGTTACAACACAAGTCCGTTGGTCGATGGTCCATAAATACTAAACTAGGTCATTTCGTGATAGGATCAAACAGCTATCCAATATTCCTTGGTTTCCAGTGGTTTCCTAACTGATGTCGGCTTCTAATGAGATCTACTGTTCTTCATCCGCGATTTTTGAGACGTGACTTTACATCACTGTTGAATTTAATACAGAATAAATTCATCTACGTTGTTTTTTGAATGTAATTCATTCACTTTCAGAGTTTGTTAGAGCTATCTGCTTAGAATTCCATCTTGTTCAGTAAAATGTAAAGGAGTCTGTATAGCCATATTCATTCAGAGTTTGAAAGATACTGCTGTTGAAATAATAAACTACTTCTACTATCTGAATAGTAAATCAGTGGTTCAATAGTAGAATGCTTCTCAATCACGTAAGTAGTGCGGATTATATTCCTGACTGTTTCACACCTAAATCTCGCCAAGTTTACTGGTCAGTAGTAAACCTGCAAAGAGGGTGTGAGATTAGCAACTCCACTCCGTTAAACTAACACCAGCTTGTTGCTTTCGAAGTGGATTACACTCCAAGCCCTGCTGGCAAGTGATGCTACTAGATTATCTCCTCAGTGTACATCCAATTCATTCCTGATTATTTTCTGGTTGTTTAAGTAATAGGTTGTTTCCGGCATAACCTTTCAGTAGTGAATGCAGGGGTTGGCGAAGGTCTGAAGTCGCCTGTTGGAAATACTTTAGGTGATGCGTGGGACAAGTCCTTGAATGATGTAGAAGCACTGACTGGTTCGAAATTACTGTTAAGCGAAATTCGCATTTTGTTCCTTATGCCAATGTTGTAGATTTTTAATGAATTCAGAGCAATGAACACCTCTACCTTTATCACTTCTGTCTTTCCTCTCTACTTACATAGGTCATTCAATGGCGAGTAGTGATGATGCTCAATCAACTGCTGATGAATCAGATGAAGGAATGAGTTTAGCCAACTTTGAACATTATACAAATTCAATGCAACCAAATCATGCTGGATTGTATTTTTGTCATCTATGTGATTTTACTGGTAAGTGTCTTCCTTTTTTTTCCCAATGCACTCACACCTTACAAATATGTTGCAATATTAAAGTGTATATACATACAAGTTGAACACATCCTATACAATGCTAGCAACATTAATTTAGTCGAAAATTTGTATCATATTCAAACTAGGGTTATTCAATCTAACTTCCATTCAAGCAGAACAATAGAATATACACTGTTAGGACGATTTCAGCGGAAGAAGGATTACATTAGTCAAGGCGGTTAATGACTTTGATGACTTTAAACAGGTGTTAGGTAGTCAGAAGTAACTAACTTGAAGCCTTATCTGACTTAGATCACGTACCTGTTGGTACTCATCAGTTAGCAATACCTCTCAAAAGGATTGACGTCCCTTGACAGATTCGAACCTGTTACCAATGAGCAGCAGATGACATCCTACAGGACTGTAACGAACACACTGATTGGTCACTAAGGGAGTGACAACTTTTCATTTGCCCTTATGAAGAAGCAGTAGCATATACAGAGAAATGATAATATTAATCTTGTTCTTTATTTTCTTGACACATTGAGATTATTTTAAATAACCTTGTAATAATTCAATCAAATATGGCGGTTAATTTATTCAGGAAAGTTAGACAAACACTTGCAAATGTTAGTTTGTAGGGATATGATTGGTTTTAAGTTATTCTGAAGTTTAATCTAACGCATAGTAATAAGTGATTACAGAAAGGGGTTCCTAGAGTTCGGGACCAGTGGGGTCTATTAACTCAGATATGAGGACCGGTACTTGCCGATGAAACTCAGTGACGGTCTGGCAAACCGGCAGAAGCTGGAATTCACGGGACATTGGATTCTGCCAGAGTGGCCAAATCGACAAAGCGCTCGCCTCACAACTTGAAGAAACAACAATTAATGACTATTTAGTCATGTAGTCATGATCACACAGAACACAATGAAACCGTGGATATTTTTCTCGCTTGTGGGAGGAGGCATAGCACGTTACCATTTGCAACACGGTATCTAAATATGACTACTTACAAATGACTTTCTTTGAATTTATTATATAACACCACTACGGAAGAATGCTAACAATGCCTACTCATTCGCACATTGAAACTTGATTGACTAAATAAATCAAAACGAGTCCAGTAATAAAGGAGTTAAAACTATTGAAGATTTTTTCTTTTTTGAAAGATTTAGTTAAGATAGTTGATTGCCTACACCTAAGAATCCTAAAAGAAAGGCGTCGGTGTCCCCTCACTATACCACCTCTTTCTCTGTCATCACTTTCAGTGGCTCCACAACTGCGTATAAACTTTTCTCTTTACATTATTACCATTTTATCACCCTTAGACACTGTACCCACAGCTTTCCATGCGTGTTCCACTAGAAGGACAGCTTGGCGTATGATATCACTCAATGGTCTCTTCAGCTTGTATCTAACTCATCAACATTTTCTTCTACATATTCCTTGGTCACTAGATTGTTAGCTGCCTGCTTATCCTTTTTAGTAAGCCAGCTGATCTTCACTGTCGAAACTGAGAAAGTACATGTTGATAAAAGTCTGCAATAGCCTGTTCGAAAAGCTTTAGGTGATGTTCGCGCCAGTTCGATCAACCATATAGAAGAACTGATTGACTAACTGACTTGATATTAATGTTGAAATTTTGGATGTTGTCCCTTACGCTAAGTGTTGTAATAAACGCTTGTCTTGCTTTCTCAGCCTTGGCTGGCCTGTATATCCTCGTCCAATTGATACATTTGTACCGATTTGAGCAGACAGATACAGAAATCATAGCACTTCTCAATCAGACTGTGAAATGAATGTATAAGGAAAAATATAAGCATGTGTAACAATGCACTGTGAGTGTTTCCATTCCGTTCCACTGAATTCTTTTGACTGAATTGCTTGTTAAAAAAATATAACAGTAATCTAGTGATTTTCTAATATCACCACACAATATAATGGAGTAATGTTCAAGTATTGGTTTGTAGGGACTTGATTGACTGGTTACAGGATTTCATCATGAGCTGACATCAGTTAGAGAACCATTGGAAAACCTGGGAGCACTGGACAGCTGTTTCCGTTGTCCTAGTTTGGGACTTCTCAGCAGTACGCACCCACCGCCAGGGTTCAAACCCAGGAGTTTCTGGTTCGAAGGAGAGCTCGTAGACCATCAAGCCACTGGGAACCAATCCAATGGCCCTTGAATTCTAACTTCTGGCAATTCACGACCACTAGCCAATGTCTTCGGCGAGTATTTGTCCTCACACCCGGCCTGCTGTACCCTACTGGTCACGATTTCCCACTAGAACCCCAGATAACTTAATAAATAAATAAGTAGATAAGCGTAAACCATCAGAAAAATGATCCACTGTTGAAAAATTAATTACTTTTTCATTGTTGCTAATGAAAATTTTTTAATTTTACAAAAGTTTTAGGTTGTATTCTTTTTCAGAAATTACTTTGTATAAATTACCCTACCTGTGTATAATCCCTTTCATAAAAAAGGACATTGTTCTTAGGTCAGATTATAATGTTAGAATGAATGAATAAACAATAAAGAATTGAACATGCGGGTTTCAATGGAAAATGCAGAAGATATAGAAAAGTGAAATTTCACCTGAAAATATCTTCATTTCTCATTATTATTGAACTGAAATAACCTTAAAAACATAGAGTAGAACTGAAAAACTGAATTAACTGCTTTAAATAAAGTTTTTATTAGAGCAGTGGTACCAAAAAAAGGACACAACCAAAAAGAAGTTATTTTGTCTTCCTCTAGAACCGCTCAACAATGTGTACCCGTAACCAAGGGGATCCAACCCGGGATCTTTGGGTTGCTAGGTGAGCCTACTGGAATGGAATCCAATGGTCCATGAATTTCTAACTTCTACCATACAAAAGCCAGTTACTGTCATCGGTGAGTATCTGTTCTCATAACCGTCAACTCGGTAGGCCCCACTGGTTTTGACTCCTCACTAGAACGCCGTACACTCCATTCTGTAACCAGTTATTAGTGACCATCGGAGCTGGTTGGCAGTGGCACTATATTCATAGCGAATCGGCAGAAGTTAGAATTCATGGGTTACTGGATTCCATCTCAATGCCTGGATACTGAAGGGGTTCGCCTCATAATCTACAAGTCGTGGATTCGATTGCGAGGAGTCATGTATGCATACCTATGAAGCGTCTCAAACTAGAATAAAATAGCTTTCCAGTACACTCCTGTGCTTTTAATGATTCCTAATAGCTGATACTGGTTTGTAAAGCAGTTGAAATTAAATATTTGAACATCAGTCTTTATCTAATTAATGGCTACTGGAAGAATGGCGTAAAGTTGTGATAAAACATCATGCTGGGTAAAATCTATGAAGTCAAGTTGAAATGGATGCCTATCGACGATGTTGGTTAACCAAAGGGTCATCACACGAATTGAGATAAGTTACAATTCACAGGCTGCCTACTATCATTGATGATATTCCTGATTGTGGTGGACTGGGTCATCTGACAGATCAAGGGGAGCCAGATATATGTCAGACCGACAAGAAGTCTCTGCAAGATCTGGGCTTCACGGATGATTTATGTTTAATGTCACATAAACTCGAATATTTACAAGTAGAAACCAACAAGTTGACAGAGGAAACAGTGTAGACAGGACTAAGTGAACACAGAGAAGACGAGTTGATGAAGATAACCAACCAACCAACCAACAACAGCAAGCACCAATCACTATCAACGGAATACATTTGAAAGAGGTCACTTCCTTTACTTATCTAGAAAGCAACTACAAGTGGAGGAACGGGTGAAGTTGTCAAAGCCAAACAGAGTTGGAAAGGCGATACAGACCTTCGTTACTCTGAAATCAGTGTGGTAATCTGCTGCACTCACCAGAAGGAGTAAGATCTGGATCTTGAACACTACTGTCGAATAAGTCCTTTTTATGGTCCAGAGACTTGGCACGTCACCAAAAGCATACCCAAGAGGTTACTACGGACTTTTATCAATAGTTAGCTACTTATACTCGATGCTGAACATTGGATGGCCAGTGGGAAAGGATTAATAACAGGGAACTCTGACAACTAACCAACCAATAACCTATCGCCGAACATATACCCAAGGAAATGGACATATATATATATCCCGTTGAGTGACGTTACACAGCAGACAGGCAATCGAGTGAAATTCGAATGGGGAACAAACAGTTGGGCGTAAGTCTGGGAGTGACATGGAGGAGGATTGTGTCAGGAGGGGATGAAAGCTTATGGGTAATCGTTGTCCCACCCAAAAAGACGTTCATAGTAAAACTGAAATAAATGCGTGTGTTGACTGAAGTCCTATATTTCACCAGGAACTCTAGGGAAAAATAAAAAACCGAGAACTCACAAGTGGTTAAATTTGAATCTAATGGGTGAATGGTCTATGGACAAATCTCGTATCATACAGGTCTTGGCTTCAGGGTGATCATGACTAAGAGTCCAAAAGAAAGTGGACAGACGACTGCCTGAGTTTGCTTGTTGGATTTCAATGATGAAATGTGCTTCAAATCTACACATCATCTTATTTTTTTAAAATTTCTTAACTTATTAATTACCATTTTACATCCCGAAGAAGAGTCACTTTAATCTACGCATAATAAAACTGGAAAACTTTATTTCTGTTGTTCTTTTCTCTAAAAATTAATTCTTGCCTAGTTTTATAAATCCTTCAAATACTGATATTTAAAAAGGCATATTTCCCGCGCGCGCGCATATAATATAACCACCACAGAACAAATACTAGAAAAAAATATAAAATATATTGGAACGTACACACTAACACGAACACGAATATAATGAATGGATTTGAATGAGATATTTATATCATCAATTTTTTTGGTTCTTTTTTCTGTTGCCCTCCTCCCATTTCCTGAGATTTTAATTTCTTTTATATCCCTAATTCATTTTATTTTTTGTTGTTGTTTTAATAATAGTTTAATCTGAAAAACTTTGGAGTTTTTCCATCTTTGTGTTTCCACTCTT